CTGGGGATTGAACTCAGGACCTTGTGCCTGGCAAATGCTTATTCTACTGTTTGTTTGTTTGTTTGTTTGTTTTTTAAAGTGCTTGCTTACTACTTGTGAGGCTCTGGGTTGAAATCCCAGTAATACCTCTCACCCCAGCACAAAAAGCCCCGTAAAGAAATACAAGTACAAAGCAGTGTGCCAAAATATTAACAAAAGTCTCTGCTGAGAAGAATGGGTAGCTGATGTTTCTTTCCTCTTAACAGCTCTATTGAGGTACAATTTATAGACCACAAAATTCACTCACTTTAAGTGTATTGTGTGAGATTTAGTAAATTTATACTCATGCATTAGGATATTAGGTTGTGGAACACATCCATCACCTGAGTAAGATCTGTTGGAGAACTCCACCCAAAAGTGTGCCTTAAATTTATTGGAAGAGCCAGGGATACAGCTCAGTGGCACTCTGCCTGCCTGGCAAGCACAAGGTTATGAGTTTTATTCCTAGTACCAAAAAGAAAAATTATTGAAAGAAGGAAGGGAACACCGATGTTTCACTCTAGTCACTGACATACAAAGTGAACTTGGGCTCAGATATGCTTGAAGCTTCAGCCTCTTTACACTTTATTTGATCCAAAGGTGAGAGGAGGATGTCTCCCTGTGAGCTCTCTCTTGTGCAGCTCAGTATAATCCTCTGAGCTCTAGTCTACCTGGGACTCTGGCTCTATGTGGGTGTTTCCAGTTACCCTCCTGGATTTCCCAGGCCTCAAGTTTCCATCTCTTCTCTCTAGCACATGACACCTGCCCAGATACACAGTGATGAATGCCGCTGACAAATTGATCTGTGTGGAATCTTCTTTCCATTCTCATCAGTCCAGTTTAGGATGGTAAAAACTTTTAAAGTATTTTATCCTGAATTTTTAGTCCTCCCTGGATGACTTTCTCTGGATATCTAGACTTCTGTATTACCAAAAATGAAAGTCTTCTTACTCATTCTAAGAAACATTGTCTTTATTCAGTAAACATTTTTCTCAGTGAGAATCTCACCCTTTTAAAAAATAGAACAAAAATAATAGCCACTTTTTCCTTCCTTCCCTTTCTTTTCTTCCTTTTCCCTTTTCTCTCCTCTTTCCCATTTCCAGCAAAAGGCTAGGTGCCCGTGCTCTGGCCTGATACCTGTAGAAGAACTCATGTGGGAGTTACACTGGGAAAGCAGACATCGTTGGCAACAGTGGGGTTTATCGGAGACTGTGCGGTTTGCTGGAGACAGTGGATTAGCTGGTAAAAGTGGGGTTTGTTGGCAGATAACCTAGCTTCCTCACAAAGCCAAGTTGGCTTAAGGGGCTTCAGAGTAAAAAAGCCCTATCGCTTCCACCACAAAGAACACAAAAGGAAGGACAAAACCCCAAAGCGGAACAGCTCTCAGAAATGTCATTGAGACATCAAAGCCCTATGAGAACTCAGTGAGATTTCATAAGAAAACTAAGACACAGCGTACCCATGAGCAGGAAGGCACCCAGGAAGGGACCTCAGCTCTTTGTGAGCTGAGGGGGCAGTTCAGGAGAAACAGAGCACCAACTACACAAAAATGTCATCCTTCAGGGAAACTGAGGACATGCTGGTTTTGGATGACTGGCTTGTGGGTGTCTCAGATGTCACTTTAGGGAACTTCTGAACCACTTCGACCCTCAGCTGCCCTATGTATAGGCTGTGGGCATTCCTGCTAGAGCCCTGGGGACAGGCTGATCATGTTTGGATGGCCACAGCGTTTTGGGTGTGTGTATATGGGGGGGTACCCAGGTCAGATTTGCTGAGTGGAGAGCAATTATGTACACATTCTATGGCATCTGTCTGCAGCTGTCACACATGCATGTGTAGATTTTAGTTGGAGTCTGACAGAGCCATGTAGCCCATTGAGGTCCCCGAGTGACATGGATATATATGGGAGGGACTTATTGGCAGGCAGCCTAAGGAACCCCCTGCTTGAATCATAGGAGTGGTCCATGGCCAGGAAAGGCTAGTGCAAGGGACAGGTGGCACATGCCTCTTGGTCACCCATCTATGCTATTTTCTAGATCTCAGTGCCCTGAATGTTTTAGCTCTATGTTCCAAAAATTTTTACTTTGAGAGGGGTAGGACCTAAGACTCTATAAAAATACTGTAGAAAATTATCAGAAGACAATACAGGAGAATAACTACAGGATCTAAGTGACAAAAGATGAATAAAGGTGAGAATGTGAAGGATTCATGGAGGAGGGGATGAGAACAGCCAATAAACACACAAAGAAAGGTGCCCAGCCTCGTGAGAAATCAGGAACCAAATCAAAACAAGATATCATCTTCCACCCACGGGGCTGGCAGAAGTAAAAATATTTGATAACATCAGGTGTTGCTGAGGATGCAGAGAAACTGGCATTCTCAAAAGCTGCTGGTGAAGAATCAATTAACATAGCCATTTTGAAGGGCAAATTAACATTATTTATTAAAACTGAAAGTTTCACATCCTATGCCCTGGCAATTGGTATGTTCCAAGAAAATTGTTCAGATGTGTGGGCCAAGAGATGTGCACAGGGATGGTGGGAGCAGCACTTGTGCCTGTCAGAACTCAAATGTTCAGCAAACAGGGAAATCCAGAAGAAAATTACTACTTAGACGCCACAGTGTGTGGCCATGACAAGGAATGAATTTGCTCTTCAGGTAGTTCAACAAGGCTAAGTATCAAGAACATACTACTGAGCGAAAAAGAAAGCTACAAGGGGAATTTCAGTTTATGCGCACTGTTCTGAATTTACAAAGGGAAAACAGGTATGTTATTTGCATGCTTGAATGAACCGAGAAAAAAATGAACCCTGGCATTCTAGGTCTTTGGGAAGGAGGACAGGCCTGGGCAAGTTGCTGACCAGCTGGGCCCTGCCTGATCATCAAGGCAATGCGCAGTCACAGAACCAGGTGATGGCAAGAGCCTGAGAGGTCTCTGACAGGATACTAGTGTGCAGGTGTGTATATTTCCAATGTAGTGCAGAGCTGTGGTGTCCATCTCAACCCTCTCATGTGCACAGTCCAAATTCTGCCCCTGGCCCTGTGTGCACCAGGCACAAGGCACCCAGGGACAATGGGGCTGTACTCCCTTCAAGAAGCTCAAAGCCCAGAAGGGAGGCTTGGGCTTTTTATGGTAGGCCTGGACTGGTGCCACCAAAGCACCACAGGACCAGTCTCTGTTTTGGGGAGGAACAAGACTTGAAGGGAGCAAGCAGTATGGCAGATAGCTCCCTCTCCCTCACACCTCCCAACAGAACTCTGATCCAGGGAAAGCTGGTATGGCCCCCTCCTTAAAGGTGCTGCCTTTGTTTTATTTATTGGCAGTCAGAGAGGATTTTCCATTTTACTCCATTTGAAAACAGCAAGTGCATCAATCTCTTTGACTAGATAACATGTATTTCCCCATTTTAAAAGGTATGCTTTTTTTTTTTTTTCTAACTATACA